AACCAAAGGAAAATACTCTAAGCGAAGAAAATCCAAGGCGTAGAAAATGTCAAAGAACATCTACTTCCTTTGGACCATATTTTGTGACATTCTTGCTTGAAAATGAGCCTCAAACTTTCAAAGCATCTATGTCATCTTCTGATTTAGCATATTGGAAAAAGGCAGACAATAGTGAGATTCAATCAATTTTGGATAATCATATATAGGAATTGGTTAATCTTCCTCCAGGAAATAAGCCTTTAGGTTCGAAATGGATCTTTAAACGGAAAATGAAAGCTAATGGCAATATTGACAAATATAAGGCAGGACTTGTTGTCAACGCTTATAGACAAAAAGAAGGCCTTGATTACTTTGACACTTACTCGCCAGTAATGAGGATAACATCTATTAGGGTATTAGTGGTACTAGCGGCCGTGTATGGTCATGAAATCCATCAAATGGATGTTAAAACAACTTTCTTAAATGGAGAACTGGAGGAAGAGATTTACCTGGAACAACCTGAGGGCTTTGTGGTTCCGGGTAAAGAAAAAAAGTGTGCAAATTGGTTAAATCGTTTTATGGACTTAAACAAGCACCGAAATAATGGCATGCCAAATTTGACCAAATAATATTGTCAAGTGGGTGTAAAATCAACGAGTGTGACAAATGTGTTTACATTAAAAACACTCTAGGTCATGAAGTCATTGCTTGTTTATATGTTGATGATATGTTGATAATAAGCAAAAATATGACAGATATAAATGCTACTAAGCGCATGTTGGCTAGCAGATTCGACATGAAAGACTTAGAAGTTGCTGATGTGATCTTAGGAATCAGAATTCACAAGACTCCATAAGGTCTAGCATTATCATAGTCTCACTACATTGAAAAAGTACCTGACAAGTTCAAGTATTTGGATTTCAAGATTGCCAAGACTCCAATAGAAGTGAGTTATGCACTGCAAAAGAATGAAGGTGAAAGTGACTCAAAACTGGATTATGCAAGAATCTTGGGAAGTTTGATGTATATCATGAATTGTACGCGACCAGATATAGCATATGTTATTAGCAAACTGAGTCGGTTTACAAGTAATCCCAATCAAATACATTGGATAATAATGAAATGAGTTTTGGGGTATCTGAAACATACCCAAAATTATGCTTTGCATTATAACAAATATCCCTCCGTGATAGAGGAATATAATGATGCAAATTGGATCACCGGATCATCTCAATTTAAATTCACGAGTGGATATATTTTCACAATTGGGGGTGGAGCAGTGCCTTCAAAATCATCCAAACAACCGTGCATCGCCCGTTCTACAATGGAATCTAAATTCATAGTGTTAGACAAGGCCGGTGAAGAAGCTGAATGGCTCTGAAATTTCTTGGAAGATATTCCATTTTGGCCCAAACCTTTGGCACCTATATGTATACATTGTGATAGCCAAGTGGTAATAGGCAGGGCAGGGAGCGTTATGTATAACGAAAAATCTTGTCACATACGACGGAGACACAATACCGTTAGACAACTACTCTCTAGTGGTGTTATCTCGATTGAGTACAGAAAGTCAAGAGATAACGTGTCGGATCCACTTATAAAAGGCCTATCTAGAGAGGCAGTTGAAAGATCATCGAAGTGAATGGGGTTAAGGCCTAGGACAAGTCATCATGCCGGTAACTCTACCTAGCAAACTAGAGATCCCAAGAGCTAGGTTCAAAGAGATCAAACAAAGTTATAAATGACGGTTCAACATTATCAAATAACTTAACCCATTATCGTGATAAAGACAATGTTCAAAAAGTAGGGTAAAGCATTAAGGCTTTTTGATGAGTCAATAAAGCTTAAACTTTTTAATGATTTGCTAAGTCTGGCAGGAAGTGACCAGATAGTGTGTTTATAGGATTACACATTTAGAAATCACCTATGTGAGTGTGAAGTGTAAGCCGTTTCAAGGGGAATGAAAGTAAAGGTCCATTCTCGAAGCACTCATTAAACCAGGTGGCGTTCATGGCTAAAACGAACACAACCGCGAGAATCGTAGATGGTTAAGGGTTGATTATGTGATTTATGTTGTCTAGGTATACAACAAAACTCGACGGTTCAAAGATATCAAATCTACCGATTGACCGAGTATATCCGATATAAGTTCACTACGGAAAGTTCAAAGGAAAACCAAGTTATCCAGATGTAATTAATCCTTGCATATAAATCACACACTCCGTGCATTCCTTTGTCTTATAGCCATTCCCCATTTATGTGGGGGATTGTTGAGATTAAAAAATTAGTGAATGGGAAATGGAGGGAAGAAAGTGGAGGGAAAGTGAGCTCCCTTTTGCTTTGGAAAGAGCAAGTGTCCCTCATTGGTGGTGGAAAGAAAAGTGAATGTGCTTATATTGAGAAAGCACTTATTTTGGTGTTAAATGGGTTGGAAAGAAAGTAAGCCTCACGTCATCGCTCGCTCGGCTTCGGCTTCGGATTTAGTCAAAGATCAATTGATTGATTAATCTTTTTGGACAAAATTTCTTTCGATTATTTAATTAATTAACAAAAATTCAACCCGAAATAACCCAGGACCCGCGACGCGACCCGTTTCTTTCCCGGATTATTTTAAATCCTTTTTCCCAGAATATTTCAAACTGGAAATGTTTCCACCTGTTCCAATAGCCATGGCTGTTTCTGAAAGGTTGCAAACTTTTTCAGAAACAATGCCAGAAATTGGCTATAAATATACCTTGATCTCATAATCTTTCCTTATGAAAATTTCTGATCTTCTTCTTCTTCTTCTTCTGCGTAAAATTTTTCAGTGTGTTTTACAACCATTGAGTGGTTCGAAGTTCATTAGAGTTTTTGGTACCAATACACTGATGAGTTAAATCGTTCTATCCTGGGAGGATAATATTCCAGCACCTCGGGTACTTGAGGGGAATAATTTCCTTAAAGACACACTGTGCATTCAGTGGGCTCGATTTATACCGAAATTATTTTTAAATATTATTTTGACATTCTCTTGCTGCTAACTTTCTGAAACTTTACTGTTTTATTATTCATTATAGTAATACAGATTGAATAACATCATATACATAATTACTTCCTGTAGCTACCTTTCAGTTGTTATGGTAATGTATTCGATGTATTCGCGCTACTGTATTCGTGAATACAATAGTAAAAATTATCTAAAAAATAGGGCAGTCCAGTTGTTAGTCGTTGTATTCGTGCCATGTATTAATGAATACGGTAACGACAATCAACGTAATAATAGGTCTCTTCTGTTGTTTAGTAACGGAAAGCTGCTAATTTAACGTGATATACTCCTAATATAACTCAACTAAATCAATTATAACACGCAACATTATCAATCCAATTAATGAGAAGATTTATCGGACGCTAAACACCAAAAAATAACATTTCCTATGGGAGGTAAAATTTTGTTAAAGAAACCGGCGATCCCAAGAGTTCTAACCTTATCGAATAGCTCGACGGGGTCATGATGTGTGTAGTTTATGAATCAAGTAGGAGTAACAACTATTATTATGATGGTGCAAAAGAAATGAAATTGATAAACTATTTAATGGAGTAAATTATCTTATTGATAAAATGAGTTCGCCTTATTTACTTTAACAGTTCTTAATTTTCTTTACTTGAAATTATTTACATGTAATTAGTTATGGTTTTTCAACATAATATGAAATACTGTTCTCTATCTAGAAATTAGTTCTAAGTAAATTAGAGTGATTTCAGTTAGGCGCTAGCATGATTTATTCTAATACTCCCTCCGGTTCATTTTAATTGATTTTTTGGCCTTTTTTTTTGTGATCTACAATATTTTCTTTTCCAGATATCAAGAAGGAACTAACTTCTTTTTTTCAAAGTTGCCCTTGGAGTAAAGAGCCTAGGAGTATTTTTCAATGACCAAATTAAGTTTAATATGGTCAATTTTATTGTTAAAAAAATACTAAAAGATGAATTTCTTAATATGTGTGAAAACAACAACAAAAAAATCAATAAAATTCGCGGTACATCTAGGGGTGAGCATAGTTTGGACAAATCCGAAATTCGACTTTTTTGGATTTTTGGTTTGGATGTTCGGATTACGGATGGGATTTTGGATTTAGTTTTTAAAATTTTTGGATTTCGGATTGGATATTGGATTTGGTACTTTGAATTTTTGGATATCCGAAATTTTTATATTTTATATTTAGTCCATTATCCATATACCAATAATAATAATAAGTTCAATACCCTTCCCATTAGATATTATCTCATATATTCAATATTAATTACTAAGTTACTGTTAGAATACTTTCTATTTGGACATGATTTTACTATTGCTACTTCTTATCGGCCGTACTAATGTCTCTGTTGTATTTTTTTGATAATAATTTCATTACTTGAATACTTTATTTGGATGATTGCAGCAAGAATGAGGAACATTTCAGGCAATTTAACATGAGTACTTCATTTGGATATTCATTTTTGTAAAAAGTAGAAATATCTCAACTTATACGTTCAAAACTAAAAATCTATAATATCCAAACCGATTAATCCGAAACTGAACTTAAAAATTCAATCTGTTGAAATCTAGCCCTAGGTTCCGCCATTGGTGAGCTTGAGCAAGAGAGAACATAGAAGACAATAGAGAGAGAAGCTGAGAAATGAAAAAAACAATTTTCTGTTACTGCCTTAACTGAAAATGAGTTGTACATCCCTATTTATCCTAACTAACATAACCTACTTTTTGAAAGAGGAAATTAACAACTAATCTTCTTAACTAACTACCTTCTAGAAGAGTACTACATAAATACAGGAATGTACAAATATTTACAGCTCTAATTTCAACACTCCCCCTCAAGTTAAGAATGAAAATATGTCTTTCATTCCCAACTTAGAGACTAATGCAGCATGTTGCTGATGTCCTAGTGCTTTGGTCAGCACATCAGCTGGTTGTTCTTGACTGGCAATATAAGATGTCTTGATCAGCCCTTCTTGAATTTTCTCTCGAATGAAATGGCAGTCTATTTCTATGTGCTTTGTCCTTTCATGACACATAGGATTTGCAATGCTGCTTTATTATCACAGAACATCTTCATGGGCAGTTTTAAATTCATATTCAGCTCTTCCAATAGGCCTTTCAACCACACAAGTTCAGCTGTTGTGTGTGCCATGCTTCTGTACTCAGCTTCAGCTGAGCTTCTAGATACAGTATGTTGCTTCTTAGCTTTCCAGGATATGGTTGAAGTTCCAAGCTTAACACAGTATCCAGTAACAAACTTTCTTGACATAGGGCATGATGTTCGGTCTGAATCACAGAATGCTTCTATTTCTTCATTACTATCACTTGACATCAACAAACTCATACCCGGTTGCTTCTTGATGTACCTTACTACATGAAGTACTGCTTAATAGTGAGATTTCTTAGGTGCATGCATAAACTGACTTAGGGATTGCACTGCATATGAGATATCTGGCCTTGTTATTGTTAGATACAAAAGCTTCCCTATGAGCCTTTGATAACTCCCCCTGTCTTCCAGTAACTCATCTCCCTTACTTGTGTTTGTGCAAGTATCAAACTCAGTGCTTGTCAGCTTCAAGTTCTGCTCCATTGGTTTCTCTCTAGGCTTAGAACCTGCCAAGCTTGCATCCGATATCATCTCTAATGCATATTTTCTTTGAGTCATAAGGATGCCCTCCTTTGATCTAGCAAATTCTATACCTAAAAAATATCTGACTTCTCCAAGTTCTTTCATTTTAAAGTGTTGATGCAGAGATTCATGTGCACTTTTAATTTCCTACATATCATTTCTTGTAACAAGGAGATCGTCTACATAGACCAGAATCAAAACAAACTTGTTATCCATATTTCTAGTAAATAAAGAATAGTTATGCTTGCTTTTCTTAAAACCAGACAAAGACAAAGCTTGAGACAGTTTCAAATTCCATTGCCTAGAAGCCTGCTTGAGCCCATATAGGGATTTAAGTAGCCTACAAACCTTATGCTCCCACCTAGCTACTAAATCATTGAGGCAAAGTCATGTAAACTTTCTCTTCAAGATCTCCATTCAATAAAGCATTCTAAACATCCATTTGAAATATAGGCCAGTGCTTGAGAGAATAACAGCCCTCACAGTAGTCAACTTAGCAATAAGAGAGAATGTATCATGAAAGTTTAAACCATTCATGTTGTGTAAAGCCTTTAGCAACCAATCTGGCCTTGAATCTTTCTATAGTACCATCTGCATTGTACTTTATTTTATAAACCCATTTACATCCAATGGATGTTTTACCAACATCTTTCATTTTAAAGTGTTGATGCAGAGATTCATGTGCACTTTTAATTTCCTACAGATCATTTTCTGTAATAAGGAGATCATCTACATAGACCAGAATCAAAACAAACTTGTTATCTACATTTCTAGTAAATAAAGAATAGTCATGCTTGCTTTTCTTAAAACCAGACAAAGACAAGGCTTGAGACAGTTTCAAATTTTATTGCCTAGAAGCCTGCTTGAGCCCATATAGGGATTTAAGTAGCCTACAAACCTTATGCTCCCCTGGCTACTAAATCATTGAGGCAAAGTCATGTAAGCTTCCTCTTCAAGATCTCCATTCAAAAAAGTATTCTAAACATCCATTTGAAATATAGGCCAGTGCTTGAGAGAATAACAGCCCTCACAGTAGTCAGCTTAGCAACATGAGAGAATGTATCATGAAAGTCCAAACCATTCCTGTTGTGTAAAGCCTTTAGCAACCAATCTGGCCTTGAATCTTTCTATAGTACCATCTGCATTGTACTTTATTTTATAAACCCATTTGCATCCAATGGGTGTTTTACCAACAGGTAAGTCAACTACAGACTAAGTGTTGTTCTGTTCTAATGCTTCAATTTCAAGTTTCATAGCTTCAACGCATATGTCATCCTTACTAGCTTGATGAAAAGATGATGGTTCAACATCAGCAGAAAAAGAAGTAAGAAATGCTTTGAAAGAAGGAGAGAGGTAAGTGTAAGAAATAAAATATTGAATGGGATAAGATGTAGAAGGAGTGGATGGTAGGGGTAGATGAACATAGTCAGTCAACCAAATTGGTGGCTTACTAGTTCTCCCTGACTTCCTAGATGGAGGTAAGTCAGGTGAGGCTGAAGAGCTAGGTTCAGCAGAGGTAGCAGGGTCCATGGGAGAGGAAGAGAGCAAGGTGTCTGATGGGATTGACTCTGCAGCAGGGAATGAATTGGTAGTGAATAGAGGACTCTGAGGTTCTGAAGGTGAAGCTGGCAAGTTGGTGATTGGAGATAAAGGCGGTGAAGTGGGTGATGCTTGTGTAGATGGGACTGGCCCATAATCCAGTGTTGGAGAAGGAGAAAAGATATTAGAACTAGCTGCAGGCATGAGTGTGGAGGAATCATGTTGTGATGAAAGAAATTTCTCTTTTGGACATTTGAAAGGAAAGATATTTTTTTTAAAGATAACATCTCGACTGACAAAGATTTTTCTAGAGTTAAGTTCATATAGTTTATAGCCTTTCTGTGTAGAAGCATAACCTAGAAGAATAACAGGAATGGATTTTGATTGGAATTTGTCATGAGAGTCAAGTCTGGTACTAAACCAAAGACATCCTATTGTTCTTAGGTAATCCAGTTTAGGGAAACAGCCATGAAAAAGCTCATAAGGAGTCTTTTCATGTAGAACAGTGCTAGGCAATTTATTAATGATATAAGTGGCTGCTAGAATGCATTCACCCCACAGTTTTAAAGGTAATGCAGTTTGAAACCTCAAGGCTCTGCCTACTTCAAGTAGGTATCTATGCTTCCATTCTACAACCCCATTTTGTTGGGGAGTATAGACACAACTACTTTGATGAACAATTGCTTTGGTTTGAAATAGATTAGAACAAAGAGAATTAAAGAACTCATAGCCATTATCAGACCTGAAAATCTTGACAGTAGAAGAAAATTGGTTTTCTACCAAATGAAGAAAATTTGATAGAATCACATAGACATACTTTTCAGTCTTAAGAGAAAGGTCCAAGTTATTCTTGAAAAATCATCAACAAGAGTCAGGAAAAGGCAGCCTAGTTTGTTTAACTAATGGACAAACATGACAGTTACAAGAGCTAGAATTAGACAACAATGTATTTATTGTAGGTATCTTCTTAAGAGCTGAATGAGGAGCATGGTCAAGTCTTTGATGCCACAACATAGTTGAGGAGGCAGACTGGTTAGTTGTCATACAGGTGGAAGTGAGAGGTGCAGCAGGCTTTGAAGGATTGAGGATGTAGAGTCCATCCTTGAGGCTATCAATCCCCCTCACCTTGCCACTGAAGAGGTCCTGAAAGAGAATAAAATCAGGATAAAAAGAGACTATATATTTTAACTCCTTGGTATATCTGGACACAGATAACAGATTATACTGAAACTTAGGCACATAAAGCATATCATGTAGAGTTTGATTGTTAGACAAGGCACATGATCATGTATTTGTGATCTGAGTACTTTCTCCATTTGGTAAATGGACTGAAGTAGATTTCGAATGGGGAATAGGCTTAGGATAGGATAAAAGATCTAAGGATGAAACTAGGTGATTTGAAGCACCAGTATCAATGATCTACTTAATTTGGTTAGTAATTGAATTACCTGCCATATTGGCCACATCTACTGGTGTGTTTTTTCCCGCTGGTCCTTTTTCCTTGCTCAATATTCTGAGTATTTGTTGGTACTGCTCGGGTGTAAAAATTGGAGTTGCTGCATTGATCATGCCATTTATCATACCAATTTCATCAGTTCTTGTGTGTTTAGTCTCCTTCATTATACTCATATTGTCTGCCACAGGTGTGTAGTTATCATTAGCCCCTCTTTTTTTATTGTTGAACTTAAAACCTAGTGGATCCCTACCAACTTATAGCAAGTCTCTCTTGTGTGTCCTTTCATCTTACAATAATCACAAAACAGATTTGTGTTTTTCCTAAACTTCACATTTTAGTTGTTTGCTGACACAAAAGAGCTGCTCTCAGTATTCATAGGTCCACTTCCCAGAATTTCACTTTGTATACCATATCCACTACTTAGCCTTTGACTTTCTTCCCGAACTATCATTGAATATGCTTGATCAAGCGAAGGTGTTATTTGCATCATCAGTATTTGACTCCTTTGAGGAGCATAAGTGTCATTTAATCCCATTAAAAATTTCATAAGTTTCTGTTGGCGAAGAAACTCAACAAATGTCTTAGATTTCTCACAGTCACATGGCTTAGGTATTATCGACTCAAACTCATCCCAGAGGTCATTGAGGTTAGAGAAATAGACTGATACACTAGAAATGCCCTATGTTAGGCAGCTGATTTCCCTCTTCATATGGTACACCTTAGTAGCATTAACTTTGTCAAAACGATCTTTAAGCGCTTTCCAAACCTTCTGTGCATTTGAAGAGTACACAATTCCTTTCCTAAGTTCCTTAGCTACGGAACTATGAATCCATGACTGCACTATGGTATTGCAACGATCCCACTGCCGCAATTGGAAGACATTCTTCTCTTACTGCTCTCTAGTGCAAGTTCCATCAACAAATCCAAGTTTAATTTTTTACAAGGAGCGACATCTCCATAAATTATCTCCATTCCGAGTAATTTTTAGTTCCAATTAGCAATTGAGGAACAAGTGACGTATCCGGTGTGTCTGAGGGATGAACATACAGCGAATCATTACAATCAATCTGCTGATTGTTTGCATGTGAAGATCCAGCTGTAACTTGAGGTGAATCAAGCGTCATTTTAGCTGAGGATTGACAGAAAAAAACAGATTTAGGAAAATCGAAGACGAAGAGAAGAAGAAATCAAAAGAGCATGTGAAATAAGAAAAAAAACGTAGGAAATTGATCGGATGAAATGCTCGTTGCTCAATCGCGAAGTACCATGGCTCTGATACCATGTTGAAACCTAGCCCTAGGTTCCGCCATTGGTGAGCTTGAGCAAGAGAGAATAGAGAAGACAATTGAGAGAGAAGCTGAGAAATGAAAAAAATAATTTTCTGTTACTGCCTTAACTAAAAATGAGATATACATCTCTATTTATCCTAACTAACATAACCTACTTTGTGAAAGAGGAAATTAACAACTAATCTTCTTAACTAACTACCTTCTAGAAGAGTACTACATAAATACAGGAATGTATAATTATTTACAACTCTAATTTAAATACAATCCAATCCGAACTTATTGGGATTGGATTTGGTTTGTCATTTCTTCAATCCGAAAATCGAAAATTCAAACCGAAATTCTCATATTCAATCCGAATTGCCCGAACGATCACGCCTAGATACATCATTGAATAGTGCGGCATAATATATCCTCTATCTCAAATTAACCTACTCGTGTTGACTTTCACAATGTTTAAGTAGATTGTCATAACAAGTTTGGTAGGTTTAACTTTAAAAAAGATGGAGGAAATATTATGTGTTTTAAATTCGGCATGATTCCTTTCCAAGAAGTCGACTTTAAGGCACCTTTTTGTTTGTTACTTATTTCTTTTAAGGAGAAAAAAGGCAGAAATAACACTAGGTAGCCACTCTAAAGGGTTGCTATCTAGAAATTAGCTAGTACGTTCCGAATTTTAATTTCTTATTTCAATTTTTCGGACAAAAATATTCTGAATTGTCCTGAAAATAGAGCATTTAGCTTAAAACTTTCGGACAAATTAATACTCCATCAATTTCAATTTAGATGATGTAGTTTGACTTGACACAAAGTTTAAGAAAAAAAAAAGATTTTTGAAATATGTGGTCCTAAAAGTTTAAGGGGCAAAAACTTTATGATGACAAATATAGAAATGTGTCATTCTTTTTTAAACACACTAATAAAGAAAGTGTGTCATTAAAATTGAAACGGAGGGAATATTGATTAATTTATAAATAGTATCCACTATACATGCACTTGTCCCGAGAAAAAGTCACCTATATGAGGCCTAGCAACTTGGAATAAATTATGTTATGCATTTGGACAATATTTGAGTTGAAGTAGATATATATCTTTTTAAAGTTGAAATTGGAAAAAACGCGCCTAATAAAAGACCATTCAGCCTAGGATTATGAAAATGGGTTGGTTTAACTGAACTCTAACGTGCTATAGAATTTAACACCCAAATTTAGCCATGGCATTGATACGAGTTTATAAGATCCCTCTATCTTAACTATAAATTTCAGATTTAAGCAAAAAAGATAAAAAATTATATTAATATAGAGCGCTTTCTTGTCCGTGTAATCATTATTTTTGGAATGCACGGGTCCGAGTCTGCCTAACTCCTCCATCGTGACGATGGACTTTTGATTAAAAAAATATATATAGAGAGAGAGCTTTTCCTTTTAATAAAATTTGTGCGACATGAATTGAAAATTCAGACTAGCCGGAACCCCAAATCCCAATAGAGTACTGCACACAAACTGAAAAACAATATACTATAATATATACATTAGATTTTTGCCGAACTGAAAGGTAGATACAGTTGACTTGTTCTTTCAATCACATTGCTTTCAATGGAGTTTACTCTGCCAGTTTCCTTCCTTATCTTGATTCCATTTTTTGTACTCATCCTCAAACAATTCATACCAAAATCAGGAAATCTTCCACCAGGACCTCGACCATGGCCAATACTAGGAAATATTCTCCAGTTGGGGAAAAACCCTCATATTTCCATGACACAATTTGCCAAAATTCACGGCCCATTAATTTGTCTCAGGCTGGGAACTCAACTTGTTGTCATAGCTTCATCCCCTGATTCCGCAGCTGAAATTCTCAAGACTCAAGATCGTCTGCTCTCAGCTCGGTCCGTGCCCCGAGTTGCTCCATATAAACTCTCTGTTATTGATCAACACTCAATTGTCTGGTCCAGTGATTTAACCAATCACTGGAAATCTTTAAGGGCATTCTGTCGAACACATTTGTTCTCAGCCAAAGCAGTTGAGTCACAAGCTGATTTGAGGGAGAAAAAAGTGTTTGAAATGATAGAATTTCTTAGGTCCAATAAAGGGAAAACAGTTAAGATTTCTGAAATTCTGTTTGCTACCATTTTGAACACGCTTGGTAACCTATTCTTTACAAAAAATTTATGTGATTTGGATTCTGAAGGGAACACTAGTGGGATCAAACATGTAATAAGGAAATTTGTAGAATTGGGAGCTATGCCAAATATATCAGAATTCTATCCTTTTTTGGATGCTCTTGATTTGCAGGGTTTGAGAAAGCTGACAAATATATATCAGGATCAATTGATAAGCATTTGGGCTGAAGTTGTCAAGGAAAAAAGGCAGGCAATTAGTTGTGGGAGCTCCAATAAAAATCAAGATTTTTTGGATATCATGATTGATAGTGGATTCTCGGATTTACAGATCAATATCATATTAATGGTACTTTTTTTCATCTCTACTAGGATCAATTATTTGAACCATGTAACTATGTCAAACTGAAACTTTGTTTAAAATACGATGATTTGGTGAAGCAGATGTGGAATTTTAATAAAAAGTGATTGGGACTGACATTGCGTAATCTTATTTTTAATTTCAGGAATTAATTGCTGCGGGTACAGACACTACTACCTCAACAATTGAATGGGCAATGGCAGAGTTGCTTAGGAGCAAGAAAGTTATGCACAAACTTCAAGCTGAGATCAGAAGTACGATAGGGAGCAATGCCAATATAAGAGAATCCAACATCAGTGAACTTCCATATTTAGCTGCTTGTGTCAAGGAGACGTTGAGAATCCATCCGCCAACTCCATTCTTGGTTCCTCGTCGTGCTCCTGAGACGTGTAAGCTTATGAATTTCACCATCCCAAAGAACTCGAGGTTGTTTGTGAACGTTTGGGCAATAGGGCGCGATTCTAAAACTTGGGAAGATGCGTTATCTTTCAGACCCGAGCGATTTCTTGACTCTAGTGTGGATTCTAGGGGTCAAGATTTTGAGTTTATACCATTTGGTGCAGGGAGGAGAATATGCCCCGGCTTTTACCTTTTGCTAGACAAGAAGTACACTTGATTTTAGCTAGTTTGATCCATCACTTTGAGTGGTCAGTTCCCAATGGTGAGGATCCAATGCAGTTAGATATGGGAGAAAAGTTTGGTGTTACTCTTCAGAAAGAAAAACCTCTACTAGTTGTCCCTAGATAACATGTATCTTCACTTAACCTCATTTAGCAGTGAGAGAGCTGTAGCAAGATGCAAGCGCCTACTGAATGAAAATAAATTATCTCAATTTGGTGGTTCATTACTGGCTTTTCCTGGATATCAGAATTCTCTATAAATCAATTATGAGTTTAAATTGTATAATTGACAGAGTAAAGACATCACATTTTCTTGAGCCGAAGGTCTATCGGAAACAGTCTCTCTACCTCACCAGGTAGGGGTAAAGTCTGCGCACACACTATCCTCCAGGCCCCACTTGTGGAATTATACTGGGTATGTTGTTGTTGTTGACAGAGTAAAGGCAATTTTATACTATCATATCACATTTATTTGTTATAACAACTAACCTTCCTTACTTTCACGATTATAATTCCTACTTTGTGTGGAGAATTACTTGTGAATATCTTTTGGAAGACCTAATAGTATGAAGATTTATTTACACTGTCAGTGTATATAATTTAAACTCATCAACTATATGTTTTCTTAACTTGCTTATCGTTTTCCTGTTGTTTCATGTAAATTTGTAAATCTTAGTTAGTTCGTTAGAAACCCCGGGTAAACTTTGCCTAATGTTCAAGGTTTCTGATAATAGCTTAGTTTGCAGAGACACTATTTTGGGCTTTGTCACCATTTTCTTAGGGCTTACTGCCTATTATTGGGCCTCATAATTACTCTAAGCCCTTCTAGTTGGCCCATCCAAGGTAGTTCTGTGTCATGCTCTTTATCCTAACTCCTAAGTAGGGGTGTACACAGGTCGAATTGGTTCAGATTTTTTAATTACCAAATCAAATCAATTATATCGGGTTATTAAATCTAAAGACCAAACCAAACCAATAAAAGTCGGGTTTTTAAATCTCGATTTTTCTCGGGTTTTTCGGATTTTCGGGTTGTTTCGGGGTTTTTTTTCTTAAAGTATTCATAGCACAAAACATAGAATTTGTACTCCAAATATTTCTTTAATCCTAATAAGACGGAACAATATAAGGTGTTTTTTAATAAAATAACATAAATATAAGATGATTCATGGCATTGTACTAAAATATTCAACAATAAAGATGAGAAATTCGCATAAAATAAATATTCTTAATAAGCCATAATAAAAACAAACATAATTTAAAATTACTAATAAGTTGCTAAAATAAGTACGACTAATAAGTACTATTATTTACATGACTAAACACTAAAAGAAAAATAAGTTATGCATTTTATCTAAAAACCATGATAAAACTAAAAAATAGATATCCAACATTATTTTCATTCATAGTACAATTGAATTGAATGTCTTTTTTTAATCATTAGTATTGATTTGATTTTGGTTTAGGATTTATTTGAGTTACTGACATTTATGGACTATAAAACTTATTGGAGCATCCAAAAATTATAAGTCCAAACTTGAAATAATATGTTAAAAGATAAAATTATGAAAAGCTTAATAAATATTTTCATGTATTAAATATACTTAAAACTTCTATACATATAATGTCGGATTGGTTTGGTTTCGGTTCGACTTTTTTTAGTTAAAACTAAACCAAACCAAATATTGTCGGATTTTTTTTTCCAACACCAAATCAATCAAACCAAACCATAGTTGAATTTTTTTTTCTCGGTTTGACTTAAATTATCAGATTGATGCGGTTTGTCGGTTTCATTTGTACGCCCCTACTCCCAAGATACTGATCCACTGAATTGGATGATAATTTCGTTATCTCATTCCGGGTTATCTCATTTGAAAAAAGAACGATCATCTATTAAGTAGCTCAACATGATGTTAGATTTTGGGCATACCAATTACATTGTATTGACCCTTCTTTACAATTTATATGTGAATCAATAGTTTATGCTTTACACTAACAGATCAAGTTGACCTATAACAACAGATAATTTTTTATAACAAACCTGTTAGTATTAACTAGAATAATAACATGTTAGTATAATTTGTTAACGGAAATAATTTCAAGTTTATAACTTAAATCCTTCGTACATTTAACGAGTCAAAATCCTCCTCGTTAATTTAGTAGAAAGTAAAAATCATGGATTTCTAAGCATTACTACACCATATTTTTGATAGGTTCTTAGAATCCAACATAATTAAGTTCTGGAGTATGCAGCATCATTGAATGTTAATGACTAAAAACTCAATTATCCTAATCTAATTTATTTTTACCAAAACAAGAGCGACACTTAGCCCCTTTGTTCTGTTGGGGACACAAGCTACTAGTATTATAGAAGCTTTATAAAAACCTTTTCGAAGTGCAATGGAATAATAGAAGAGAAACATAACAATTGGAGAAAGAGGATTAAGACCTTAAGATGTAAATTAGTGTTTTTGTCTGCCCCGATCCGTTGATTTCACATTGGAATAAAGACTTCCATTATTCTTTGCACTCCATTATCGATAAAATTGGCTCTTAGGTGTGGAATATTTCCTCTTATTGCTCATTGTGTGCTGAGATTCTAACTGAACAATATGGAATTTTGGGCAAATTTTTGGGGTTTTGACTAATCTTGTTAATATCGTTGTTGACCTTCTTCCTCATCTACGGATTACTTATTTAGCATCGACAGCTAATATACAGAGCAGAAATTTACTGGTTATTAAACACATCATTGACTCATATTACTAAATTAGTTTTACATACCTTTTTTGTGACGAAAAAGAGCTTCATTAACAAGAGTGTGTTGGCTTTTTTAATTAAAACAAAAAGAGGTGTGAATGAAAAATGGTGGAAAAAACAATGGAGGGAAATAAAATTTTGAATTAGTCCCTTTTACAAAGAAACTTTATTCTTCGTTGGATAGGAAGAAGAAAATGTTAGCTTCAAGGTTTCACGTATTGTTTTGATGATAATGTCACGATCCAAAAATCCTAACATATCGTAATGGCACCTATCTCAATACTAGGCAAACCGACAACCTCAATAAATCACATTTTCTCTTAAGTTTAAGATCATAATATTTGAATTTCCATAGAAAAATCTTACAAATTACTAACATAAGATACATTCCCAAAATTCGGTGTCACTGAGTACGTGAGCATCTAACTGATAACAAATTCTGACGGCTAAAAACACTGTCTGAAAATATAGAACAGTACAAAAACTGAAAGGAAAGAGAGTCAAGGTATGCGGACGCCAAACAGCTACCTCGATAATCTCCAACAAATAAAACTCCGAGAACTAGCAACCGTCGTGTCCAGAAGTATCTAGATCTGCACACGAGGTGCAGGGTGCAGTATGAGTACCACCAACTCAGCAAGTAACAATACTAAATAAAAAACTGAAAGTAGTGATGAGTTTCACAGCTGAGTCCAATTATAGTAATTTTCAACATAACAAGGTAGGCATGCTTTCAAGTTCAACATTTAAGGCCAAAACAGTAATTTCATGTCATGTCAACTCAAACATAAGATAATATCTCTCAGAAATTTTCAAAACAATGATATATGACAGCTGAAGTGCAATAATAATGAAATCAAATGCATCCTCTCAGGACCACAGTCACTCAGCCCTTCCACTAGCTCAGCACTCAGCACTCAGCACTCGCACTCAGTAGGTACCTGCGCTCATTAGTGGTGTGTACAGACTCCGGAGGGGCTCCTTCAGCCCAAGCGCTATAATCCGCACGGAACTCACATGCTGCATGGAAAACTCACGTGCTATAGTATCAATATCTGGATCCGCACGGACAACTCACGTGTTGCACGGACAACTCACGTGCTGTAGTATAATATCTGAATCCACACGGACAACTCACGTGTTGCACGGACAACTCACATGCTATAGTATAATATCTCACAAGCAGGCCCTCGACCTCACTCAGTCATAAATCTGTTCAGTCTCTCGGGCTCTCAATAATCATGAAAATCAACCCAAACAACCATGATATGATGCATCAATAATTAACAATAGAGACTGAGATAAAATAAATAAGTAAACTGTGATTGAGTATAAAATAATAATTTAGCAAATAATTCAACATGTACACGACCTCTGTGGGTCCCTACAGTGCCAACACATAATCTAAACATGATTTGAGATTCAATTTCTCTAATACATGGAGAATTTAGAAATAACAACAGATTATTCAACTACACAGTTTCATGGAATTTAACCAAGTCACAATTCTTACGGTGCACGCCCACACGCCCGTCACCTAGCATGTGCGTCACCTCAAAAACTGATCACATAACATATAATGCGGGGTTTCATACACTCATAACCAAATTTAGAACTGTTTCTTACCTCAAACCGTGTAATTATTTATTCTGCTATGCCTTTTCCTCGCGAATCTGCCTCCGAACGCCTAGAATCTAGTCACAATTAATTCGATTCAATCAATTCAAATTATAGGAATTAATTCCATATGAAAATATAAATTTTCCAATAAATTCGAAATTGCACTCAAAAATCGCCCGTGGGGCTCACGTCTCGGAACCCGACAAAAGTTACAAAATATGAACGCCCATCCAACCACGAGTCCAACCATATAAATTTCACCAATTTTCGACATCAACTCGATCCTCAAATTCTCAATTAAAGTCTTTGAAGATTTCTACTATTTTCAACCCAATCTTTACCCATTTGAACTCAACAATCTTTCCACAATCTTATTGGTATGTGTATGTATAAATAATACTCTCACACCTAAAAATCACATTCCCAATCCCCCTTCTTTACCCAAACGCGTAATTGAAGACTAGGGTTAGAAATTCTTACCTATTTGAAACCCTAGCAAGATCCTTGTGAAATCTTCAAACCTTGAACAAGAATTGATGGATAAATGACTAGGTCTTCACTTTCTCTCTCTAAGATGCTCTCACCTCTCTCTAAACTATCAGATTTTTGCCTTCAAAATGAGCCCCAAAAGCTATTTATCAAAATAGGTTCGGGTTACAAAAACCAGAAAATGAAGTTCCGGGACAGGATCTGCAGTCGCACATGCGACCGCATAATTCATCTGCGGCCAGCGAAATGGCTGCGAAAATAGACCCTTGGAACTAGGCATCTTCTGCCCAGGTATGCAGTCATTATGCGGCCCGCAGACCTGTTCTGCGGTCGCATAATCAACCGCAGATTTGCACCCTCACCTGCCCAGCTTCTGCCCATTCTACGACCATTATGCGGCCCGTAGAAAATCTTTCTGCCAAAAACTTTATTTTGACTCCCCCATGCATTGTTCAACCCAAAAGGTCCGAGACGTGGCGAGCTTGCTCGCCGCGAAGTATTTATGAAATTCTCAAATATGTAAGCCTAGTTCGGCACCACGAAACTTTAATTTCCTTAACAAAAATTTTTCGGAGTCGTTACACATAAGTCAAT